CGGTATGGAGAGGATTATATTTGTTAGAAATACAGACTGAATTAAGAGGGGATGAATTGATCCATTGAAAGATTTTCGCAACTTTTTTTTCTGATTAAAAATTTTCAAGATTAAATGAAATCAATCTTGTTGAATCAAAGAACACCAGTCTTAATTACAAGAATATGATGAGAAAGAAAAGCAAGGACAACAAATTTTATACTCGTTCACCAAAACCACAGGGTTACATTCAGTTTTGAATCAAACCAGATGAGTTTCATTAATCAAATTCAATTGATTATAAACAACAAAAATATAATCACAGTCTACTTTAAGAACTACAAACTAGTTCTTGAATTTACAATAATTCTAGTTGTCTGACTAGTGTCTAAACTTCTAGACCGAAACTACAAGAAATTAGATGAAAGATTAAAATGTTTGAAGAAACAATAACAATAAAATGAATATGTTAAAACAACAATCTAGTCACCAGTTGAATTTCTTTAAGAAAAGGAAAAAAAAACCTCAAGAACAATTTTCTCATATTTTTTAAATGAAAAGTGTGTTTCTCTTTTGAAATAATTCTCAAAAAATTGCTTGATTGATTTCTCAAAAACTATGTTTAAAATGGAAGTGAGAATATGTTTATATAAATTTTTTTGAAGAGTATTGATACATTTAATCGATTAAAATAATTAAAATTAGCTTCTAATATATCAATTTTAAGTTATTTTAAGCTGATAAAAGCGTGATTTAATTGATTAAGCAAACTCTATTTTTCCAAAGATGTTTTAACTAAAAACTTGATTTAATCGATTAAAATACGTATGTTTATTTTTCACAAAAGTTTTAACTGATAACATCACTCATATATCAATTAAAACTTCGAATCAAGGTTTTCCAAAACTTAATCAAGATCATTTTAACATGTTAAAATCTTTCTTATTCATTTAAAACTGTGAAACATAAAGTTCTTTGACTTTTTAAGTAAAATTAACATATTAATTCAAAAATATATAAGTTAAAAACTTTGCTGAAAAATAAATTAATCGATTAAAACAATTTTTAACATATTAAATTTTTGAGACACTTTTTCTTTATCTTTTGAAAAGAGAAACTTATACATGAAAAAAATATATTTATACCTATGATACTTATTGTAGACACAGTATAAACTATAACAACAAATCAATTTTTTTTTTATTAATATTCAGATGTAAGATTTTATCATCTTCTTCGTCATGTCTCCTCGTCTTAAGAAAATTTTTATCATCACACTACATCGCCTCAAGAATTTGTTTTTTCATCATTTAATTTTAAAATTTTTTAAACACATATGATTAAATTTAGTCAAGTTTGCAAACTTTTTCATTGTTATATATTATACTAAATAACACTTAAACATACATATCATCACCTATGTCAGTTAATCATATTTTAAATAAAATTTATGACTTTTTTAAACATTTCATGATTTTTCTAAAAAATTAAAAATTTAACAGAGTAATTAATAATATATTAATTAAAATATTTCATTATAATAAATATAATAAATATTTATTATAATTTATTAGAAAAATATATATTATAAATATGTTTTTGAAAGCCATAAAATACATTGGTGAAAGCATTCTGGTTTTCAACAATTTATGATTATGTAGGAAATACATTTACCATGAGAGGTCACTATAACTGTTTTCTGGCTTCTATTAATTAGTTTTTTCAACCATGAATTCTCCATTCTACCATGTGATGAGTTTCTGTTTTCTTGCAAGGGTGTGTTACAATATTTTATTCCAATTCATGTGCACGTAGAATGACTTATTTAGAAGGGTAAAATAATATATTATTAATAAATAATAAATAAATATAAAAGAAAATAAGAAGATAAAAATATAAAAAGATAAAATTGTAAATATATACTTAAATATATTAAATAATGATTCAAAGGAAGCAAAATCATAAATTATATGAGAGTTATCAAATTAAAGAGGAATTGAGAGGATAAAATTATAAATATATAAATAAATATATTAAATATTCATTAAATTTGGGACCAAAATCATTAATTGCATCAGAATTACGAAAGTTTGCGGCCATGTTCCCTTCCGCTTCCAAAAAGATATATATAACTTCATATTTCGTCTAATTTTGTTCCCCTGATTTGTGCATAAGTGCAAGTCCTGAAAAAAAAAAAAAAAAGAAGCCATTTTCTTTGGTGAGAAAAAACTTCTTTAACATGACTTATCCAGTTAATATTCAATTTTTGTATATCCATTTTGGAATATTTTTTTTCATTGATTAGTATGGTGATTAGATAAATATTAGAGCAAGATTGGTGCTGCAGTTTTTTATTTTGACATTTGTGCTATTTGAGTTGACTTTTTAGGACAAGTTCAAGGTCGGTTTATGTTTCAGACAAAATAATAAATCAATTCCTCATGCATATATATAGTTTAATATATAATACGTTTTGAAAAATGATATGCATTGTTTTAATATCGGACAGGTTCAACGACTCTAATAAAAAAATTAGTCTAAAAATCGATAAAGTGATTTTAAATAATTAAATTTTAATTAAATCAATATAAAATTAATAAAATAACAAAAAATGATTGAAATTTTGTTTATATTAAAAAAATTTACATCAATTTTAAATAATAATTATTTTATTATATTTTTATTTTATTTAATTATTATTATTTTATATTTTTAATATAAGTTACACATATAATTTTCATTAATCATAATACTAATTTGCTGCTCCCTGTTGTATAACTGTAATGGCTCCTGTCTATTGTTCTCCAAATTTACTTTAATCTATACTTATTCCAAAGTAAATGAACCCTAAGTTTTAAAAAAAAAAAAAAAAAAAAGAATAAACTTACCTTCGCCACCAGCCACCGCACCTCCGCGTTTGACCACCAATGACCACCGCAACAACCCCACCCCCTTACCCTTGTCCTCACCACGACCTTTCTCCTCCATCCAACCACCATCGTATCTAGCCCATCGCGCCATCAACCCCTATTCCTCACTCAGAAAAAACAATTATATTTAAGTTTGGAGGTGAAAATAGAAAAAAACAGACTTCTAACAGTAAAATAAATCTGAAAGGATTTTTAATCTTTTTTTGAGTGGTTGGGTTTAATGAGATTTTTTTGTTTTTTTTTGTTAAACTTGAGATCAACATAACAAAAACAAGTTACAAACAGTAATGGATGTGAAAAATTATTTTTTGTGTTCAAATTCCAAATAAAAATATGATTCAACTTCTTTTCTTGAAAGAATTTAAATTAGTATATCACTATTAGTATATTAAAAATTAAATTTTAATAATTATTATTTTCTCTCCTCTAATATTATTTTATAAAATTATTAATATATAATATTATTTTTATTAGAGTTGTAACAAAATAATTCATATAAAAGAATTAACTAATTTAGATGTACATCTAATTTGGTTATAGTAAAATTATAATAATCACTTCAAATGTATTTTTTATTTGATTATAATAAAATATTTTTAAAAAAATATTTTAAATCTAAATAGGAATCATAAATTTAATAATTTAAACATTTCAATATTAATAATTACTTTGGATCGATTTTCAATTTAATTATTATTAAAATTATAAAAATAATAATAACTTTAGATGTACTTTTAATTTAATTATTATATAATTATTAATTTTTTAAATAATTCTAAATACACCTTTAATTTAATAACATAAATAGATAAATTAAAATAAATTATTTATAAATATTTTTCTAAAAAAGTTATGTGAGTTTGATTATCCGTTCCATGGCAATAGGTAAGAGTAGAGAGATAATCTCCATTAAAAAAATATATAAAAATATATAATATTTTATTTTTAGTAACAATATTTAATAAATATATAATTTTGAAAAATAAAATAAATAATTTGTAAGATATTTAATTATTTTTTTCATCTAATTAAATATAATCAATGGACCTTCCCTATACATAGTCAATTATGACATTCATGTTTAGTAGATTTTTTTTCCTTTTAATTCTTTTTAATATTTTTCTTTATTTTATTGGTGAAACTTCATTATTTTATTTTATTTAAAAGCATATTTTAGTCTTCCTTTTGTGAAAACTTGAGATGGTTAATCGTCAAGCCAGAATGACTAAAGATGTGGGAGGTTACCCATCAAACGATTTCAATTTTCCTTTCTTGACAAAAGATATCTAGAGAATGTTCTAATAGTAACATTTCAAAATCTTATTATCTAAAGCTCCTTGCTAGAGTGTATATTTTTTATTAAATTTGTTGGAAATTAAAAAATTAATAAATAAGACGAAAAATCTCACTTAATTTTCTAATTTATAACAAATTTTAACTAATAATAAAGAATATTGAGTTTCATATAAATTTTGTAATTAAAAAAAAAAGAAGGTAAGATTTTGATTCAAAAATATGGCACTAGCATTTGTTTTATAATACACGTGCTTCAAATTAATTTTTTAACCCAAAATATGGTATGTTCTGGTTCAGAAATATTAAAAACAACAAAGCATTTTGAACCTACGTCGCTTTATATAGTTTTAGGTAGATGCCTTATTCATAGTTTTTCATAGTTTTAAGTTAATAAATTGATACAACCATCTGATATCATTTATACATAAGTTCACATTAAAAATGTTTCCACGTGGTTGAATTGCATTTTTATTTGAAGGGATTTTATAATATGATTTAGACGAGTATTACCCTGAGAATAAATAATTTGTAGGTGGATAAAATTCAAAGCTTAAAGTAGAGTATACCTACTTAGCAACACTGCAACCATGCGTGGACAAGACCTAATCAATCAATCAATGCCAGTTAGTCTGGTGACTTTTTGGATCAAAACATTATTATAAGACCAAATCATTAATGATTAGCCACGGTTTTTGTTATAAGAGAGAGGAAGAAAGAAAGTTGGCAGCATGGTCTGTTTTCATTTCTTTTCTTTTTCTCATAACCATCATCATCAATTGCTCTTTTTCACCAAACATGAAAAACAAAACCATCTGTTTCTGCATCAGAAGGCGCAACCGCAAGACAAAGGAAAGCAGAGTGGAAGATTTAGAGAAACTCTCCCATGTCAAGCCTAAGCACAAGGGGAAAACCAAAGGGTGTGATCCAAGAACTTTTGTTGGTGATGGTGATGGTGGTGGTGGTGGCTTCAATGTTCATGGAGGCAGCATAGTTGCTGGCAATGATGAAGGAGTGGCTGCTGCTGTGATGACTGCAGCTCATATGTCATTGATGAGTGCCTATGATTGTCAAGATGGAAGTGGTAATTGTCACGGGGGAGAATCTGGGGCAGATGGTGGTGGTGACTGATATATATGTTTATGTTAATCAGAAAACTTAGATCCACTTCTTTGTTTTTTGGTATTGTTCATTAATTATAATGGTTATATTTTACTGTCATTTTTTTTATCATGTAAACTATGAAATTTTAAGTTTAATGCAATGTTATTTGTAGTGCTTGATTATTTCCAGAGGATTTGTTTTGATTGTTAGGAGTAATTAAGACTTTGAATCAGGGACCCCCTCAATTTTGTTTAAACATATGGTCGTTTTGATACAGGATCATCCTATATGAAGGGGACAATTGTGCAAAATCCTTCTATAATAGAGTTGAGTGCAATGATATTGTATAACAATAATTTATGAGTTTTTTTGTCTATTTGTTAAAGAATTAAAAACCACCATAGAAGAAACAACATCAGATGATTAATGTTTTATTTCAATCTTTTAGTGCTTTAGAAATGACAGTTTACTCATTTATTTTACTTTTTGAAGAAATTGATAATCATGTAAATAAACCAGACACCAATTCCTTTTAATGGATCATAGAAGAAACAACATCAGATTCCACATAAAAATTGAAGCCTCACATATTAAGTGATTTTTTTTAATATACTATTTTTTATTTACTCAAATAACTCATTTTATTTACTAAAATATACTAAATTACGGTATATTGTGAAATATACTTAAATTACTGTATATTGTGGGAAATCCAAGACCGATTTCTCACCTATCTCATTGAATTTTAAGTTTTGATTGCTTACTCAATTGTTATTTTTTAAAAATCTGTTTCTATTCTAATTTATTTTATTTATTTTAATTATTTTAGTTTTATTGAAAAATTTAAATATATATATTTTAATATAATAAGTTAATTTAATTATTTTTTTCTTAATGTAAATATTTTAATATTTTAATATTTAATAATTTAATTTTTATTTGATAAATTTAGGTATTTTAGTATTTTTTAATTATTTAAATTTTATAAATAATATTTTTATTTAATATTTTAGAAAAAAGTTAAATATTATTAAGAATGATTATTATTAATTTAAATAATTTTAATTTTAAATAATTAAATAATAGTCTTGCTTTTCCATTCATGTTTTTGGTTAAGAATAGTATAACACTTTTTACATGGGCTGTCAAAGTTAAGATCATATATGATGGGTCCCTTTTCACCACTGAAATTTTGTTCATCCAGACATAATTAAGGTTGATATAATCATGTATGATAACAGAGAAAGAACAAGAATGTTCACATGATAAATCTCCCAATTTTTTTACTTTTGTTAATGAATCTCACCCTACATCTCTAACCACATTGTTTGTGAACACATCTTGCAGTGATTAATGTTAAAGACTATATATCCATATCGTAATATAAACCTTTTCTACATAGTGCATGTTTGTCTCAAAAGTCATGTCCTCATATGGACATTGGACATCAATTCATTATTTTAATATGACTGTACATTATTGTAGAAGATTGTAAAAGTTACTAAAAAACATGAGAAAATTTGAGTTTCAACGAAAAATTATATCAAGTAATTGACTTGTGAACTTTAATCACAATTTTGTTAAGCTAACTATTTCAAGGTCATAAGTATTTCTATAGTTTTTATGTGAACTAATCAAATAATACCACTTACTTTGGAGATAGAGAAAGGTTGTAAGTCATTAAAAATAGTAAAAAATAAAAAATTGTGAGTTCATTTCGAAAACTACATGAATTATCTGGTGAGTGTTGGGTATTTATAAGGGATTAACAATAGGACGATTTTTAATAATAGAAAACAAGTTAATCATATAAGAGAATATGATATCATATTCAATCAATAACTTTAAAACATTAAGTTATATATTTTTTTCAGCTAAAGATACTTAATTTTCTTATTTCTACCAAATGTGAGACTTCAATCCAAAACTTTAAGATATTAGATTATGAATATTTCTCAGTTATAAGTTATTCAATTTTTTTATTTTTATATATTGTGAGACTTTAACTTATACTTGAATTCTCAACCATAAGGTTTAACCATGATTTTACTAAACTAATTATTCTATGTCATATACTTATTTTCTTTAAATTTTTTTAGTCAGGAAATCCAATAATACCACTTTGTCATTAAAATTACAAAAAACTATATCTTAAGTTTTTTCACACCTACTTAAGTTTTTTCTTTAATAATTTTACATTAAAATGTATAATTCTTAGAAAATATAAACAAAAAATGATTAAATAAAACAACATATGACTATCAATCTTTTCTTACTCATTTTCTATAAATACTTTACTAATTTATAATTTTATCACTATCATAATGAAAATAGTGACATTCGACCTCTAAACTCCATTAATATTATGTATAATTTGATTATATTATAAAAATCTCAAAAGTGTTAATAAATCATCTAGATAGCAACGTCATTGGTTGATATTTGTATAGTATCAAAATCAGATATTGAGTTTACAATATAACAACTTTGTTATTTTCATACCTTCAACAAACTCTAAGGTATTACAAATTATTCACTTCAAATGATCAAAAGTAATTTGGTAAGGGACCTTGGATCATGTAGAAAAATTGTGATAGTAATCGATAATTGCAAACAAATGAATTAAACTCATCCAATTCCTCCATATGTAATAGTACCATTATATGTTTTATCTATCGGTTAAACATGTTACTTTTAATTTTCATTTAGGTTAATTTTTAGATGAAACAACGAACATGATATTTGATTTGCATCTCAATCATAGAACATATAAGCAAACATGTATGGTTGTCATGTCACGAATGCCTGACCAGTAGAAGAAACACATAACCTAAGATGTATGCTTGATATGTCAATATCGCTTTGTTTGTTTGTTCTTTAGAAAGCATAATAACCTGATAAGAGTGTTCAAAATGTCATCTTTGAGAGCATGTCATCGACACGATCTATGGGCATTCATGTGTTCCACACTAGCATGTATGCCTTTCAAAATGGTAAATCTAATATAAGATTTATGTGTGACATATCACTATAACTCATATCTATGTGTTCTTTTGAAGACATCAAACTTAAGATGTGTGTCTTATATGTCATTATCATTCAAGTTGCATGTTTTTCAAAACAAGGCATCTAACATGAGATACATTTTTGACATATCATTGTAACTCATTTTGCATATATTTAAGATAACTTCTAATATGAGACACATACTTACATGTCACTATCACTTAATTTAATTTTGTACATCCATTATGTTAAATTTGATTTAAACTCTTATTTTGTCCAAACTCATTAATACATATGTGTCATAAGTATGGAATTTAATCACTAATATTATTTTATGAACAATCTCTCATTTAGTATGTGTTAAGTATTCTAAATTAGTCCTTCTCCTTGAATGAAGAATTCACATCTTTAAGGAACTTGTGTTTGTAATTCATCAAATCATACAAAATGAGAAAGATGTATATTTTGAATGTACTTACCATAAATTATTCATAACTACATGTTTAACAATTAAAGGAGATAATATGCATTACATAAATTTTTCTACTAATACAATATTAAAAAAAATATTATTGTTAACTTAAAGTCATAACTGGTAACATGATTATGTTTAAACATTAAATGAAGTCTATGTATAGAAGACCATCGAGTGAAATTTCTAATTTTTTTTTAATATAATGATTAAAACATATATTATATTTAGAAGATATAATAAAATTTAACACACAATGGTAAATATAAAATAAGAAGGTTGATAAAAGATAAAAATAACCTTATATATTTGTTTCATTTGAATTATGTTGGGATCTTCTCGGGTTTTTTTTTTCATTTAGTTTTTACTTTGAACATAATATTATTCTTATATAGAAATTAAAATATCTCTATATTTAAATATTTTATCATTAACATTTGTAATTTAAATAGATTACATTTAAATTACGTTCTATTTTAAAATTAATTTCATTACTTTTAAATTAAAATTTATTTATATAAAATATACTTTAATACATATAAAACAATATTTGTATGTTAAATAATTTTTTATGCAAATTAAATCTAATATATATATTTAAAATTATTTTGGTACACCCATAAGTCTCGTATCATTTAGGAGTCAAAATTAAGGATAATTTATATATACTTTCTTCTCTTAACCTACCACGACACATTTTTAAGGATAAAATCATGATGAACTAAAGTTTCAAAGCGAACAATACCTCGGACATGAAAATTAACCATAACAATATTATCATAACGGATATGAGGTCGGGACATTCTCGTTCCTACACGGAACATTGACGTCCAGCATGAGTCCGAAAGGTTATTGGGTCTAACCCATTTACTTATTCTTTTATTATAAATATTTATGCAATTGTAAACCTAATTAAGTGAATGAAAATTATCATCCAGTGTAGTCGTGAACGTAGGTCATTTTGACTGAACCACGTAAATTCTTTGTGTTCTTGTTATTTACTTTCATCTTATAATGCATTTGTCACTACAAAAAAAAACCCTATTACCTACAGAATATTACCTACGGATACAAATCCGTAGGTAAATTTTACATTATCTACGGATATTACCCACGGATAAAAATCCGTAAGTAAATTTTACATTACCTACGGATATTACCCACGGATGAAAATCCGTAGGTAAATTTTACATTACCTACGGATATTACCTACGGAATTCTATCCGTGAGTAATTATCCATTACCTACGGATATTATCCGTAGGTAAATTATATTAAACTAAAAGAATTGTCACTAGCAAGAATCGAACCCAGTACCTTAAAGTTGAAAATTGATACTTCAACCACTAAACTATTAGGATATTCTAATAATAATTTACAACTAAATTATATTTATATTAATTCGTGTAAATATATAAATATATAAATATAAAAAATATAAATATATAAATATAAAATATATAAATATATAAATATATAAATATATAAATATACAAATATACAAATATATAAATATACAAATATATTTATATATAAATATATAAATATAT